AAAGGAGCAGTTCAACATTTTGGAAAATACATTTTGCTTTCTTACTGGGAGTTAAATGAGAAGATTGATACCACTCTTGTGTTTGTATGCTAATGTGAAGATACCAAAAACAGCTGGTTAGCTTAGCTTAGCACAAACTGGAAACAGGGAGGAACAGCTAGGCTCTGTCCAAAGGTAACAAAATCCACCTACGAGCACCTCTAAAGCTTTCTTATTAACATGTTATATCTCCCGTGTTTAATCTGTACAAATACTGAAGTGTAACTGACAATTCTGACATTTCTTGAACCAGTTGACAGGTAAACAGCAGAGACTTCATAGAGTTACTGCTCACTGGCAAGAACCATTATAATACGGCAAATTGTAATTTTTACATGTTGATTGTTACCTTTGGACGGTGCTTCCCTATATAAGCTGTACATTTTACCTCTGATGACTTCTCCTCCTGTGTGGGACTGGCTCTGTAGGAACGACAGCAGCACAGAGGGCTGGTACGTACAGTCCACGCAGGCCTGAACAGCCTGCTGAAGCACTGTGTTGACTGGAGCAGGACCGAAGTGGTCCGGGAGCTGCTGCACTAGTTTTCGGTCAAGGTGCGGGCCATAGTCACCGTGCTTGTTCACATAGACACACACTGGAATGACGCAAAGAGAGGGTATGCATAGAAAAAAAATGAATGAGTCGCTGAAACCAACCATACATGAGTGCACATACAGGCGTCAGTTGTATCCTGTTACCTGTGCAAACCACATTGGAGCTGTTGCTATGGTTGTTGTCTGTTGAGACGTGGCTGGAGCTAAGTTTGGTCTCTGGAGGTGGCGCTGTAACAGATGGTGCCCCAAGGGACTGCACCACCCGAGGCTTCTTCTGGAGAAAAAAAAAACAAACAAATCCTCTCTCATTAACTCTCTGTAACCTGCAAAGGAAGTTAGTTAAGGATTTATTAAAGGTGTGTTTTAACTCTTTCACTGTTACATGTGAACTGCACTGCAGCACAAACAGCAGCTTCTGAAAGCAAAGCTGTTCTCCTCATTTATCGTCATGAATAAACATCCACAAAAACTACTCCCACACTCAAACGGTCCACCTCTGACCTCGTCTCCTCTTTATCAAAATCATTTCTGCCATAATACAGAAAACAGAAAACGGCAGGGTCACTGGACTGCAGCATAACAGATTACAATTCTTGTGACATCTCACCTTGCTCTTAGGCTTGGGTCCTCTCTTCTTGTGTGGTCTGGGGGCCAGTTGAGATTCAGGGCCAGTTCTGGCAGGGCTCTGTGATGCTCCATTTACTGCTGCTGCGGCTGCAGCCTCAGCCGCTGCCTTCAACAAAGCAATAGTCTGGGATTTGGGACGACGACCTCGGACACCCTTGCGCACGGGGAGGGGTGGCAAGGGGTTGGGCAGTCGGTATGAGGTCTGCATGGAGGAGGAGGAGTTGGAAGAGGAACGACGTGTGGTGAGGGAGGTTGAGGTGGAGGAAACAGGAGCAAGGAGAGCACTGGGGAGGGTAACTAGAGAAAATGGGATAGGGGAAAGAAAAAAAAAGATTATTTGGACATTAAAAATGGGAAACGTATTTTAAAATAACCAAATTCAAAATCCTCAGCACATTGTCATCTTGAAAGCACACACATACATAAAACAATCAGATTTACTTTCTGTCCACACACAGAGGCTTCAAACAAAGACATTTGCAGAGAATCAACTTTGCTGTAGGTCCTTGAGACAAGGCATGTTTTGCATTATTAGAAATGTGATTACCCTAAAGACAGTAATCATGGTGTTTGCCTACTCTCTCTGAAAATGTTTGGAAGAAAAACAAAAGACAGGCGGGAAAATTAATAACTGAGAGGTCCTGCAGAGGAGATTTGTTTTGATTTTTCCTCCAAGATTGGCAGGTCCTTTCTATTTAGCCCCTCCCTATGCTTAAATCAGAGTCAAAAGTCATGATCCTCCAGAGACCTGCCTGCTAGGCAATTTCTCATACCCCCTGCTTCCATCAACACAACTAAAATAGTGATTATGGTGATTTTAAATATAAAAATCTAACAATATATCAGCTAATCTGTTATATGGATTATTTGAATTTGGTTCAGAGTTGTAACCAAGATGTGTACTGATTGGGGAAAACAATAATAAAGTAAGTATAACTGTAAATGTGAATGAATAAAGGAAGCTCAAGACAAGCAAACACAATAAAAATGCAGCCTATAAAACTGAAAAACTTTGATAAACTATTGAGCTATAATAAACATTGAATTAAGTAATGTGTGGTGTGAATAAGCCTGTATTATCAATTAATTTTTATTGGCTAAAATAGCCTGTTACCAAATCATCTTTATGTATTAATTGTTTACCTAGTTACTGAAACTACAGAAAAGCTTTTTCCAACCACTATTTATGTCAACGGATGGAACTTCAAAAACACAACTTCCTGTCAGCAGACATATACCTACCTATGACCTACACACATATACTGATATACTGAGTGTATACTGACATAAATAGTGTGAAATTGTTTTTAATTAGTTGTTTCAATATTAGAAATATCTGAGCATTTTTAAATACAGTAGGTGCTGTGGTGACTTTATTTTTGTCTGTGTTTAGATGTGTGAGTTTTAGAGTTCAGTCAATGAGGGACTTTATGTTGACTGTCAGTGGCAACATATAGTACATTTTGCATGAATTTCAATTTTAAAACTTCCCATGGTAGTTTATGTGTAATAAGCTACAATTAGCCAATAATATCAGCCTGGTTGCTGGTCAGACTATAGAGTATACAGGTGTTAAAATGCAGGTGGATAACAGGTTTTAGGACCCTGATCATGGAATCATACGTCTCCAGGTTCAAGTCTAGCTGAGACCGTTGTTGCGTGCCATCCCTCCTCTTGCTCCCCTTATGTTCTACTAGCGACCACTAAATCAAATAAATCAAAGAAAAACTGCCTCAAAAACGCTTAAAGAAAATCTAGCAACCTGTCTGGAAGCACTATATCGATCACAGACAGACTCCAACTTAAATGTTTTGCTCAGGAAATAAATATTATTCCAAAATTCCAATCATCTTAGGTGTTAAAATAGAAAGAAAGTGACAATGAAGTGAGGAAAAAGGCAATAACCATTGTTAGGAAGAAGAAAAAAAACAGCGGCACCACCACCCACTTCTGTCTTCATTAACCATGAATGTGACTGTGACTGTCACTCTGTGATATAATCACATAATCATCATAGTGGATGTGTGAAAGAAGGAGAGCAAAAAGAAGAGAGAACAAAAGAAAGACAGGGAGGAAAAGAGAAAGATAGTCATCTCCTATTTCAATACAAATGTATTGCTTGGTGAGAGCAGGGGTCTGAGACTGCATACAGAAGCTCTCAAGGGGCCACGGCTTTCATTAGAGCCTCCTTGACTGAGGCAATATGGAGAGACTATGGAAGGTTTACAGTATTCTCTGAGGGGCCAGCCGGGGCACCCTGAAAGCTGCTTAGTTGGGAAATGAGTGAAAGTGGGCGTAGAATAGAGCAGTGTTTTGTTTCAGAGGGTGAGGGCTCACTCGCTCACCAGGAGCGGTCACACAAAGCGCGCTCTCAGAGGAACAGCGATACCAACCTGCTCGCACAGTGGCACGCTTATTCACACTGAGCTAGAAGCCATAAGCCCTACAAAGGCAGATCAAAATTTGTTTGCAGGGTACCAATCGGTATCAGAAGGTTTTAATTCACCATAAGAAATCTGAGTTGGGGGCCTTCTGTGATCTTTCCCTGAAAATCTAATCCATTCGCGTTCTGTGACAGCCACCGAAGCAAAATGTACCATTTCCACGCTGGAGATTAATGTCATTTTCCACTGTATATTAACTTATCATCACATTTACATAAAACAGACTGATCACCTCTGCATTTTTAACCACAACTTCCAAAGAAAATCCATTCAAGCTCTTTATGGCTGCATTTCATTGAATGGATTTATAATATCTTGTGTATCATTTATACACTATTTCCCCAAAATACAGCCATACATATTTGTTAGCCATGGAAACTTTCTTTCCTTTAAATTTAAATTAAATGAACATTGTTTAGCTGCAAAGACTTAATGACCGAGCCACATTTTGGAGGCTGCATGTAAAAGGGTTAAAGAATCAAACACATTTAAAAGATTAATACTGCAGCATTATAACTATTTGCTACATTAAAATATTATAATGGTGATCCTGAGCAAAGAATGATATCTCACTCACTTTGCCTGCGTTCCTGTGTGTCTGTTATTTGTTTACAAAACCGGTCTGGCTGCTTATGTCCCCCAGTGTACAACTGAGGAGAGTGACTTTAACTGCTGTTTATCTTATCTACATCAATGAATTATGGATTCATTTTGACCAAACCAGATTTGGTAACTGGAACAATGGAAAGTCTAACCAAGACATCCATCTAAGAGTTTTATTTTGTTTCTGTCCCCTTTAAAGTAAGTTATGATGTTATGATTATAAAATTACCATTTTTGTCTATAGAGTCTGGTGGCAAGCAATAGTAATATTACAGCTGTTTCTGGTTAAACAAAAGGTCTATGTCAGTAGAGATCCTTTTCATAATGCTGTCAGACACTTAGAATAACAAACCCAGCATGTCAGTGGCAAAAACAAGCACTTATAGTGGACGTTCTTTGACGGATTATCTAATGTTTGCCCATTCTGCGGTTATTTTCTTTTCTAACTCTGTGAATTATGGGTTTGTTTCAACCAAACCAGAGTTGCTAATTATTGGAAAGATTGTTTTACAGTTATATGCTAGGTAAAACTACTGGCGTAGCACCTATTGTTTTGGTTTGAAATGCTAGTGCGACAACTAATGGCAAGTGAATTTTGAAAAACATAACCTTTAAATTACTTTCTCAGTAGTGTCAGCTCTATAAGGTATATAGTTTTAGATGTTTGTATTTCTCTTCCTGTTCTTAGCAGCCATTGGTGTCCATTTATTTCTGTACTGTATGATCATCATTAGTAACCAAAGGCTGCCTGGTAGAAAGGTTGCACTCATACTTCTAAAACACAGCAGCTTTGTCAACACACATGGTTTGATGTGATTATATTAAGGTTATGCATAATTTAAAGATAAACAAGTGGATAATATTGAACAAATCTAAATCGGCATCAAATGCAAGCAAAAAAATTCACCATCACAAAAAATCTGAGCATGGTGTCCCAAGCATGCATGGTGCAACCAAACAGAGACATATGGTACTGATCATGACTATATAATTCCAACTCGACCCGCTGACCCGTGTAAGCCACAGCCTAAGGAAACGTGTGCATGTGCAAGTATATGTAAGTGTGTGTGTGTGAGTGTACGTGTATGCATGAGAAAAGGGTCGCTGAGAAGTGTGTCTGCTGTCTGGGGGGTGGGGGGAGGGGCTCCACAGAGTTCCCTCTCATCTAATTACCCCCCCTCCCCACCACCAAGCACTCTCACAGCAAACAGCACATTCAGTATGCGCTCACACACACACACAGGTTGTGCTTTGAAGTGAATGTGAAGCAGAATGAAACTCATGAACTGCAGATTCAGGTGTGTGTGATTGTGTGAGAGATAGCAGAAAGGGGAAGTAACTCAAATAGCTTCAGGGGCCAGAGTATAAACACAACAATTCTTCAGCATGGTACACCAGCTTAAAAAAAAAAGAGAATTACTATTGTTCTATGGTGGATGTTCACCTTTCATAGGTTGTCACATAACTCAGCGTAATAAAAAAATAGTGTACTGAAAACATTTGATATCCACTTATCATTGCCTGAACCTTTTGTAAACTAATTCCTGATGCCTTACACACAAAAAGACACATAATCAAAACCACATGGAGCTCCAAACTTAATTACAATACTGTTAAAACTGAAGACTTTCTGACCAGCACTTGCCTCTAGTCTCTCTTACAGTGAATTTGAATAAAACCAAGCCATTCCAAAAGTATTCATGCTAAACAAAGAAAACTGCAGTGTGAAACTGCAGCTTTAATCGTTTACAACAGAGCAGGAGGCTGCTATACTTGTGAGACAACATGCAACTTTCATGTCAACGGCAAATTTTGTTTCCTCTTCCCTTTTTTATGTTTTACCAAGATCAGAACCTGTGAGTTTCTTAATAACCTGAGCAAGGACACAATTATCTAATTTAAACTAGCAATAACTTTCAAGACACTACTACTACTTCCTGAACTGAACAGATCATTGACTGAAAAGATTTGAAGGTTTCCAGTATTTATTAATGTTGATCCGTTACATTTAAGGAGAAGTTTCAGAATAAATAAACCCCTCATAACATATAAAAGGAACATAGATAGTTCCACAGAATGTGGAACTGCACTTTTCAATACACTGAATCTGGTAGATCTAACTATAAAACCTCCTTTAAAACACAATCCTATAACCAATAAAATGCTGGTTATATAAACTGTGAGCCTTACAAAGAGGTTTTTGCTTTCATTTATGGAAAAAAGCAAAAGGAAATGACTTTGTAAACATGT